GGAACGAAATAGCGTGCTATTGCTGCCTCTTACGACACCCACGGGACGAAATAGCGTGCCATTGTTGCCTCTTACGACACCCACGGAACGAAATAGCGTGGTATTGCTGCCTCTTACGACACCCACGGGACGAAATAGCGTGCCATTGTTGCCTCTTACGACACCCACGGAACGAAATAGCGTGCTATTGCTGCCTCTTACGACACCCACGGGACGAAATAGCGTGCCATTGTTGCCTCTTACGACACCCACGGAACGAAATAGCGTGCTATTGCTGCCTCTTACGACACCCACGGGACGAAATAGCGTGCCATTGTTGCCTCTTACGACACCCACGGAACGAAATAGCGTGCTATTGCTGCCTCTTACGACACCCACGGGACGAAATAGCGTGCCATTGTTGCCTCTTACGACACCCACGGGACGAAATAGCGTGCCATTGTTGCCTCTTACGACACCCACGGGACGAAATAGCGTGCCATTGTTGCCTCTTACGACACCCACGGGACGAAATAGCGTGCTATTGCTGCCTCTTACGACACCCACGGGACGAAATAACGTGCCATTGCTACCTCTTACGACACCCACGGGACGAAATAGCGTGCCATTGCTGCCTCTTACGACTCCCACGGGACGTAATAGCGTGCAATTGCTGCCTCTTACGACACCCACGGAACGAAATAGCGTGCCATTGTTGCCTCTTACGACACCCACGGAACGAAATAGCGTGCTATTGCTGCCTCTTACGACACCCACGGGACGAAATAACGTGCCATTGCTACCTCTTACGACACCCACGGGACGAAATAGCGTGCCATTGCTGCCTCTTACGACTCCCACGGGACGTAATAGCGTGCCATTGCTGCCTCTTACGACACCCACGGGACGAAATTGCGTGCCATTGTGGCCTCTTACGACACCCACAGTACGAAATGGCATGGTATTGTTGCCTCTTGCCAAAACCACAGGACGAAATAGCGTGGCATTGTTCGCTCTTACGACACCAACGGGACGAAATGGCGTGGCACTATTGCCTCTTACGAAACCCATAGGACGAAATGGCGTGCCATTGTTGCCTCTTACGACACCCACGGAACGAAATAGCGTGCTATTGCTGCCTCTTACGACACCCACGGGACGAAATAACGTGCCATTGCTACCTCTTACGACACCCACGGGACGAAATAGCGTGCCATTGCTGCCTCTTACGACTCCCACGGGACGTAATAGCGTGCCATTGCTGCCTCTTACGACACCCACGGGACGAAATTGCGTGCCATTGTGGCCTCTTACGACACCCACAGTACGAAATGGCATGGTATTGTTGCCTCTTGCCAAAACCACAGGACGAAATAGCGTGGCATTGTTCGCTCTTACGACACCAACGGGACGAAATGGCGTGGCACTATTGCCTCTTACGAAACCCATAGGACGAAATGGCGTGGCACTGTTGCCCTTTACGAAACCCATAGGACGAAATGGCATGGCGTTATTGCCTCTTACAAAACCCATAGGACGAAATGGCATGGCATTGTTGCCTCTTACGAAACCCATAGGACGAAATGGCGTGGCACTGTTGCCTCTTACGAAACCCATACGACGAAATGGCGTGGCACTGTTGCCTCTTACGAAACCCATAGGACGAAATGGCGTGGCACTGTTGCCTCTTACGAAACCCATAGGACGAAATGGCGTGCACTGTTGCCTCTTACTAAACCCATAGGACGAAATGGCGTGGCACTGTTGCCTCTTACTAAACCCATAGGACGAAATGGCATGGCATTGTTGCCTCTTACGAAACCCATAGGACGAAATTGCGTGGCACTGTTGCCTCTTACGAAACCCATAGGACGAAATGGCGTGCACTGTTGCCTCTTACTAAACCCATAGGACGAAATGGCGTGCACTGTTGCCTCTTACTAAACCCATAGGACGAAATGGCATGGCATTGTTGCCTCTTACGAAACCCATAGGACGAAATGGCGTGGCACTGTTGCCTCTTACGAAACCCATAGGACGAAATGGCGTGGCATTGTTGCCTCTTACGACACCTACGGAATGGAATAGCCTGACATTGTTGCCTCTTACTACGGATCAAAATTGCGAGACGTTGCACCTCTTACGGCTATATCTTATCTTAGCCTATACTCGATAGTTGCCAACATCAAGCAAGAAACTCTTAAAAATATATTCCGTGCTCATTTTATTTTATCTTATTATACTAGCTCAATAAGAACTACCACAACTTTTTCTGCTACCAGGGCTGCGCCACTTAGAAATGGGGTAAAATGTTTGACAGATTTAATGGTGGGAGTAGTTATTAAGAATATGAAAAGGATAATGTTTTTTTCTGAAATATTTTAGAAATGTAGAGCAAACCAAGGAGCCATATCTTTGTGTATTTACATGCTCTAGAAACCGAAAAACTTATTTCGAAAGCTTCATAACTTCACCTCAGTCCCAACTAGCGACATCTGGTGAGCGCAAAATTATTAGACTTCATTGTTTGTGATTTTTTACATATTTAGTGATAACTTACCAATAGGCAATGAGAGAACTGAAGGTTGATTCGTTAGTACGACCGAAGTAGTCGGCGGAACTGACACCAACAAACCACTCGGGGCACCAGAAACATTTAAGGACAATGATATGGGCGCAGACAGGCCCGGTATTTGCACCTGAACATTTTGTAAGCCTTGAATGCCCTGTAGACCCTGTAGCGACGTTAAACTTACACCCTGTAATAGAAAATAGCCATAATTAGTATTTTTAAACATTCCTAAGTCGTCTAAAACTGAAAATTGTTTGCAATTAATAAAAAAAGTAAGAAATCTAAATTTTGCAATGTTATTTTAAATCCCATCCATTGTCTGTCATTACCATCGTTAATTTATTTAATCTCTTTATGTTTTTATATATATATATAAAGAAAAATATTCATAAACTACAATGAAACTGCATTATTAGTTGAATAAAACTACTTTTTTACGGATTTTATCGCGTTTCATTAACTTATTTTATATTCCCAACGTTTCGGTTGCTTTCCAGCAACCATGGTCACGGGGGACTGAGGTGACTGACGTCCCGATGTCAGAGTTAACCCGAAGTACCTTCAGCTTTTTAATTATTAATTTTGGTGCGATCTACGCTGATAAACATGGTTGCTGGAAAGCAACCAAAACGTCGGGAATATAAAATAAGTTAATTAAACGCGATAAAATCCGTAAAATAGTAGTTTTATCCAATGTGTAGTGTTCGCGTAAATATAAGAAATCATTATGCATTATAGTTCATAGTGAACAGGCCTTGCGGAAATAACATTTACATGGTCCTTTTTCTATTTAGGAATCTTTTTAGGTTACCCCCGAATCCAAAACTGCCGCCAAGCAGCAACGTATCCATTGCTTTGTTCTTATTTTAAATAGTCAGACAGTATAATTACAGGCTATGAGCCATTTCATCTTAGTCCTGAGGGGTGACAACGCATCTGTAGCCTTCTTCGTTTGCAGTCGGTTAGACTGTTAGATTGGTCAAGTATCAAAAACCCAATTAAGGAGATTGTGTATAAACAATTTCAAATTTCAATAATAATAACATTTTTTTATATATTAGTTTTTAAAAATAACATCCTTATTAGTATGTTTTTTTTTAATTGGTAAAATACTGACAACTTGAAAATCTGTCTTATTTCTCAAAAACAACTAAACATAATATTGATGTTGGTTGGCCACAGCCCAACATCAACTATTTCCTTTTTTTAAACTTCGAATTTTTTTTTAAATATACTGAACTTAAATACATTAAATGTTAAAAAATAGAGGGTAGTGTATACGTTCACAAGGCATGTACTGTTTATACTACACCTACCGTAAACAGATTAACAAACCCCTTATCCTTGTAACATTGACTTATAAATTGTCTATAGTTACTGCAGTATAGTTTTTAAATGCAAAGCTACCTGTAAATGGCATACAGGTTGCGGTTGTGATGCAGGTGTGGCTGTAGGCTCGGCGCCCATTAGCCTCTCTAACAACGCACTTTCACTACTCGATACATTCGTTGTTTCACTGTCACGAGTGTACCCACTCATAACCTGTAACACACGACACTATGTTTCACACACAGTTTTTTTTTTTAATCTGTGTACTTTTATTACTATTATTAGTGCGTAATTTTAATTGTGTAATATAGTTACAAATTCGAGGATTAATTGCATCACAATAACTTCCACTCATAGAGTTCAAAAGTATTAACTGTTGATTTGCATCGGTCATTTGTGCTTGTAATATATAAATTCCAATATTTTAGTGGTATTTGTATTTCTCAAAACAATAATACTAAAATAATAATTTTCACAATAAATGTAATTCTATTTATGTATTGAACACAAGTACCTAAGAAGCTATTGCCATAAGTAATAGAAATAAATATGGAATCTATTTTTCGGCATTTCCCCACAAATATAATTACTTTTTACTTCATGATAATTGTTGAATCAACTTGATTATTATGTCCTAAAACTTAAATAATATAAAATACGGTCCGCGCGTTCAATCTTGGCCGGGCTGAAGTTGGCTTTCCGACACATTCGCGAAATGCACAGACGCTAGTCGATAGAGATGTGTCACTTCATATTCGCTCCTAAGATCGCTTAGAGAGACAGTTTGTTTTGTCTATATCGATTATGAATAAAATCTTTATGTATATCAATAAAACAATAGTATCTAATAAAGAAGTAAACAGTTTGAATATATAGTAAATACACTATATTAACGGGGACAACAAATTCTTTCAGTAATCCCAAAATAATATAACTTTAAATTTTTTAATCGAATCTTTAATGCACATCATCATAATCGTTGTAATAATAATATGTTGCATTTACACACCAATGAACCATAAAAAATATAAAATAAAATCGAATTATAGTCGATAATAAAGATAATCAAGTATTTACGTAATTGTAACCACAAACTATCCGTATTCGCATCTCTAACTTTAGTTATCCCCCCCCCCCCCCCCCACTATCCCAGCTTCTTGTCAACATTTTGTTCTTAAAATTTATACTGCGCAGCTACTCATGACTAACTTCATGATAATTGGCCAAGATAGAGCGCGCGGACTTTACGATATCTAAATAAAAGCCATTTAATTTCGTAAGATCTGACTTAACAAAATTCTGAAATATCACGAACACAGCTAGTACCTCATATAACAAACATTATTGAAATCAAGCATACCTGTTGTGTGTACGTAGGCAACGCATGCGACGCAGTGGTGGTGGCGATAAGCCTCGCTCCTGCTATAGAAACAGTTCGACCGAGGAGTTTGTGAGCCTCTATCGTCCCATCAGTAGCCGCGTTATTATGGGTAGCGTGGGTCACGTGAGTCATTGCGGCCGGCGCACTATTCAATAAGTTTAGTATTGTTGCATTGTTACTCGCTGTACTGACCACTGACTTGGCAGCGTTTTGACTCGCCGCTGAAAAAGTAAGAGAAGTATAAGCAAAGGCGATGAAACAATTCATAGATATATTATAAACTGACGTTAGAATAAATAAGCAATGTAAAAGAGAAAGATCATATATTAGAGCGAGAAAAATAGGCAAGACCATTCATGTACACGCTATCGGCCTATATCAGCCTGACGTTGTTCATAAACAAAACAAACACCGGTTGTATTTACAAATCTCAGGTTTTAAGGTAAAAATTTGTATTTTAATAAACGTAATTAATTACGACTACGTGTGTAGTACTTAAATATAACTCAACTCAGAAAGAAGGCCTTCATTATTATATATTTAAACCGTAGGTATGATTGAAATGTTTGGCTGTCTAAATGCTTTGTTTTAGATTTTACTCATCGATTTATATAAGGAAAATTTGAGGTCTGAGGGGAAAAAGAATTGCGATATTTCAATATTTATTTAATTTTTTGAGTACTTATATATCCGCAATAAGCCGCCATGTTAGTCTTTATGTGACTTTCTACAGCCTAAAACCCGCATAAGGGCACAATACTTCTAAATATATCTAATTTGTCAAAATACGATTAGTAGTTTAGAAGATCTGAGGGAACAGATAAACATACATACATACTAGCCTTCTAAAATCGTAACTATCCTTTTGGCTTCGTCGTAGACGGGTAAAAATATTCATCTACGTCAGATCAGATGATACGAATATACTGCAATCGCTATCGATGATTGAAGTTGAGGCAGGCAGTGCATGGTGCACCACTATTTGTTTACCATACATGCACATTATACGCACACTAGTGTATTTTGATTTTGGTCTCGCACTAATCACTCCATTGCCAATCTAGTATAATATACACTATATCTTCGAAACAATTTGATGCAAGCTTAAATTAATGAGCGCGTAGTAGCTCATGGGCTCTCGTTATAAATTTCACTACACGCCAGCAACAGTTCTATCTCCGTCGGCACCGAAGAAATTGTGGAAAACAATTTTATTTACAATGTGTTCTACGGTGAAGGAATCCTGCATGTCTAAGAATATTTCAAAGACATGTGAAAATCGCCCAACACGCATTGGGGATGCGCGGCAGATATTTCCTTGCTCTAAAAACCGCTCAATGATTAAAAGAGGCCTGTGTTAAGTTAAGTTTTTAATTGAATAACGGTAACAAGCGAGCCCTGATGGTAAGTGGATGTTGTAGCCCATAGACATCCACATTGATCTTCAATTAAGTATCAAAATGTAGATTCGTTGTCACCCCTGAGCACTAATATGGAATGCCTCGTTTGCAGTAAAAAGAGTAGCCGATTCTCTATGCTCACCTTAACACAGCAGCATTAAGCTGCTATTTTTCAGACACTGCATCTGAACGGAGACTGCCATCTCCACAGGACAGGATTATAATACAAGAGTGTGTGCGCTAACAGTTGCATTATTTCCTCACTCCATAGTCCAATGGGACGGCAAACCGACACGATCAGAGAGAGAAAGCGAGAGATCAGGCGCAGATTTAAAGTCAAACAAACCTTGTTGGAACTGTTGTGCTGAATTCATTAGACTAGTGACAAGTGCGCTGATGGCCGGGTTCGTTGTTCTTGGCTTCGATATGGTGGTTTTCTGTTGCGTCGTCGATGTATTCGTGTACTGGATGTTTTGGACCTAGAAAAATATTCAAATATTTATTTCTTGTCAAAAACCTAAATACCAATTATACTTTTTTATTGAATAGAATGTTGCAGCTATATTATAGTTGTAGCACCAATGGGTCTGCTCAACCGGTGAAGGTCCAGGGGTCCACGCTTTCACAGAATAGTTGCGTGAAATAGCAGCTTAATGCTGCTGCATTTCCTATCGTGAGTGCAGAGAACCCGGGACCTCTTTTTTCTGGAAACGAAACATTCTATCTTGGTCTTCAACGCATCTGCATTTTGATTCTTAATCGAAAATAGATGTAGATGTGTATGGGCCACAACATCCACTTAACATCAGGTGGAATGTGTGCTCGTTTTACTCTCCTTATTCTATAAAAAAGCATTTGTTGGAACCTTACTCCGACTTGCATTCATTTTGTATTTATCATTATTTTTCATGGCATAAATAATTTAATGCATCTTCAAAATATGTTCGTCACAACTTAAACTTTTATGAGTCTTGATTTAGCAGAGGATTTTAATAAAATGTGATGAATGAATGAGTGAATGAATGACGCTCGCAAAACGTAATAGTAGCCTCCTTGAAGCACTTGATTTATATAAAAAAACGGATTGGGCATCGGATTCTTCCGCATAGAACCAGTTTCGTAAAATAAAAAAATAGCTTTAACTATAAAATAATAGCAGTTTTCTTTTAATTAAGTCCATAAAAGTTAAATTTCATGAATGATTACACAAAACTTAATGATAATTAGCTTTAATGTTATTTATTTTTTCTTTAAACCATTTTTAGCACTGGCAGTGTGATACATATAAGTATAAAAAGCAGTGATATGTTCTTACCTGCGACGTTCCCGCAGAAGACATGAGTGGATGCTGTATGTGTATAATAGCTGATTGCATTTTTTGAGGATTAAGAGGTTGTGGAGGGTTGGTCAATTGTTGTGCAAGGAGTTGATTCGTTGACGCCTGCGTCGAATGGATGTCATGTACCTTAAATGTTTGATAGATAAAAAATTATTTACAAAACTAATTGAATAAATATTAGAAATCCTACATTTCAAAGTAATTATATTAATGCAAAAAAATCATATTCCTTCCACAATTAGCATAAAAAAAACAAAATACACACATAAACATACAAAATATTAACGAAATTATAATAACTAATTTGAATTAAGTCATTTGATGATATTTTGTTTTACAGATTGGTAATATTGTGTTGTGGATGACGTAAAAATTCAAACATTTAATAAAATCGGGCGCTACTTTACGAAAATTCATTATATTAAAGATGAAGAAATTTGTACTTCAAATCCGCTGACAAAAATGAAATGATACGAGGGCGACACTGAAAGTTTTTAGAATTGGCCACTTGTAAACGAAATAATAAAAAAATAAGTTCAAATTTATAAAATGAAACTCTGCAAATATTATTGTGTATGTATTTTATTAGCATCTTTCTGATAACAGCAAACCAACAATAAAAAACAGCGATTGCCAACCCGCTCGCCAAGCGTGGCAACTATGGCAATATACCCCCCATGAGCAATGACATTAATATACGGCCCCCAGATGGACCGTGCTTTGTGGCATTCCTTGGGGGAGGCCTATGTTCAGCAGTGGACTTGTGAATGGCTGTAATGATGATGTATTTTATTAATTTGTCATTTGTTTACGATTTGGCGGCAAATTGAAAATTGTCGGTCCCTTTAGCATGAATTTAACGCAAGAAAATTTTCGTATAATGATTTTTTTATGATTTTCGATGTCATTTAAGTCAACAAGAAAGTTATGATAGACTTTGATTGGCCTTTTACGATGAAGCCCCATCTCTGTTTACAACTGGTTTAATGAGTTTAAATGTGGTCGCACTAATCTCACCGATGATCTGCGTGCCTTCTACGGCGACGACTGAAGATAACATCAGTGTTGTGCGGCGTATGATAAACAGACAAAAGAGTGACTAATCAGCAGATTCGGACAAGCTTAGGCATCGGTATGAATCAAATGCACAAAATCCTCCATGAACATTTAACGGTCAGGAAGCTTTGTGCCCGGTGGATACCTCATAATTTGACAGATGCACAAAAACTCCGTCGTGTTGATTGCTGTCGTGAAATGGTTCAAAGATTTAACGGAGGTGACTCAAATGCTGTGGTCGACAGACTTACGGGTGATGAAGACTGGATTTATTGTTATGATGTTGAAACTAAGAGACAGTCTGCTGTCTGGGTGTTTCCTTCAGAGGAGTTGCCAATTAAAGTGAAGAGAGGTCGAAGCGTGGGAAAACAGATGGTGGACTCGTTCTTCGGAAGGACAGGTCATAGCGCAACAATTGTTTTAGAGGATCGAAAAACAGTTACTGCAGAGTGGTACACTAACAATTGTTTGCCACTTGTCTTGTAAAAAGTTCGGGAGAAACGACCTCGCAGTAAGATCATCCTTCACCACGACAACTGGGTCACCCGCCCTATAGCCCCGACCTCGCACCTTGCGATTTTTATTTATTTCCGAAGATAAAGGAAAAACTTCGAGGAAAACGTTTTATAGACGCCGAGGAAGTAGTGGCTGCGTTTCAAATTGCCGTCGAAGAGACTCCTAAGGACGAGTGGGCAAAGTGCTTTTCTCAGTGGTTCCATTGGATGCAGCGATGTATTCATGTAAATGGACACTATTTTGAAAAGATATATTAAAACTAATAACTTGCTAGTTTGTTCAGTTTTTGATTTTCTAAGAACTTTCAGTGTCACCCTCGTAAATAGTATCTTGTTTGTAGTCTACATATTTGTCTTATTAAAGTTATCTAGTTTTTTAAGACTCGAAACGCTTGTAGTATTTATTATTAACGGTGTGTGTATTTTCTAATGTACAGGACAAACTATCTTAGCTCATTCAAATAAATAAATTAAAAATTGCACCAATAAACAAAATATAATTAATAATACCTGTGGAGAGAGGCGAGGTGTGCTCGGTGATGGCTGTTGTTTCAATGCAACGTCGTTGGCGACGCCCACATTGCCGACTGTACCTACGTTGCCCACAGCAGCCACGTTGCCAACTGCTGTCACATTCCCTACAGCAGTAGCGTTGCCCACGGCCGCTACATTACCCACTGCTGCTACGTTGCCCACTGCCGCTACATTTCCCACGGCACCAACTACGGTACCCACAGTTGCAACGCCACCAACGCTGCCTACTTGCTGCAGTTGAGCCTGCTATTACGAACATTTATTACATACTATAACACTACCCACATAGACAAAAAAGTAACACAACGTATAACATGCAAGACCTTATTAGAACGACGTTTCCTAAACTGTAGGACGAGTAATTTTTTTAAATTAAATATTATAATGTTATTACTATACACAGATAGATATTAAGTGTGCTTTACAATTTTTTATAATATGAATGTCAAACGAGCTAACAATACGCCTGATGGTGAGCGCCTACATACTGAGACTGCAACCAACTTCAAGCAAACCACAAAAAGTCTACAGATGTTATATGTAGTAGTCATGTTGCTGCTATGTTATGGCTTCAGTACGAATGGATCGGCTCGACCGTGGTAGGATCACGCTCTCACAGAATACCAGCGTCAACTAGCAGGTTAATTAGCTGCTGTGCTTCGTATGGTGAGTATAGAGAACCAGAAACCCTTTTTACTGGGAACGAGACATTCCATCTTATTTGTTAGGGGTGACAACGCATCTGCATTTTGACTCTTAATCGAGGATAGATGGAGACACCACATTATCCACTTAACATCAAGTGGACTGTATGCTCGTTTGACATCCATATTCTATAAAAAGAGGTGATATTATATACAAGAGATGATGCTACGAATACCATCCTATTACCTCCTTCTACCAAGTGCTAAAAGGGATCATCAACTGCTAATAATCTAGACCCACTAGCGTATGTCTAAATTATTTATTCTATATCAACAAGTTTACAAAGGTCGGACTCTAATGATGATCACTACTACTGATATCGTTAAGATCCATGATTAAGTTTGCGAGATTCTGTTTGTAAGGGCTCTTGCCAAAATACGCAGTTTGTTTTTACTTAATCCCACGGCTTCTGAAGCAAATTCACGATCATATGTCTAGGTATGTAAGGTTTTTGAACACCAGATTTTAGGTGACTTTTTGTGGTAAAGAGCCTCAAGGGTTTTTTTATAGAATTAGGGTGACAAACGAGCACACAGTCCACCTGATGCTAAGTGGTTGCCGTGGCCCATAGACATCTGCATCTATCTTCATTTGCGAATTAAAATGCAGATGCGTTGTCAGCCGTGAGGACTAAGATAGAATGCCTCTTTTAAAGTAAAAAGGGTCTCCGGTTCTCTACATTCACCATACGAAACACAGCAGCATTAAGCTGCTATTTTATGCTGGTATTCTTTAAGAGCGTGGTCCTTCCCCGGTCGAGCCGATCCATTCGTGCTACAAAAGTCGGATCAGGCTCTTTGAGATTCTACTAATATCTCGGGTTCAAATTGTGTACTCTTTGACCCATCCCACGCGAGATTGTTGGCTTATTCATTGCCCACAATACCCGCATGACCCGGAACTCATCTCAAAACGACCCTGTTGTTACATCCCACGGTTTAACGGTCTACACAGCGTCCCACTAGCTTTACGGTCACTAAGTTTAATCTCCGTGCAAGCAGTGCTGTTTGACAATCAGAATTTACATATATAATAGGTAAGGTTGACGTAGTGTTTCTGAAGACTGATTTCCGCGTAATGTGATATGGCAAAAATTTCAACCTGGAAAATAGAGGCGAATTTCTCCAAATTCATACTAAGCTTGATTTTGGGGCGTTCCTCGTTAATTCCAAAGCCTAAGTCGAGGATCATTTTTGACTGCAATGCCGACCTCACAGGTGATCTGTTAATTCAGCCAGTCTTATCTGGAGGGTAGTCCCACTATATACATTTTATTAAATGTATAGTGAACGTACGAGGGGAGGTGAAAAAGTTTGCGGAATAACGAGGTTCGCGAGGGTGAGTTTACTCATCCAGCTAGACGCTAGTTGAGTACTCATTGTTAGTATATATACCAAGTTTCAGCCTAATCGGGTCATTAGCTTTTGAGTTACCAACGAGTAAACAAGTCAATCGGGAAGACACTAACCACTATGGAGAAAATTGAATATCGCGCCGTCATTAAGTTTCTCACCAAACAAGGAAATACACCTCAAACCATTTTTCAAGAGATGTCAGCTGTTTATGGGGACTCCGCTACTGGGAAAACCATGATTTATAAACGGCACTCCCTTTTCAAAGAAGGTAGGGACTCCATTGAAGACGAGCCCCGACCTGGGCGGCCGATTGAAGCTACCACGCCAGAAGTAATCGAAAAAAAGTTGAAAAACTTGTATCGGAAGATGCCCGGCTAAAGAAAAAACAGCTTGCAGCATTAGTTGGGGTATCAGAAACAACCATTTTAAACATCTTACATCAAAACCTTGGCATGACTAAAGTGAAGGAAGGTGGGTTCCGAGAATGCTTTCTGCGTACCAAAAACACGAGCGCGTCGAAAGTTGTAGCGAGTATTTGGACCGCTGTGGAGAGCAAACTGAGGAAGTTATGGCCCGAATTGTAACTGGCGATGAAAAGCAAGAGCAAAGTCAAAGCAAGAGTCGATGCAGTGGCATAAAAAAGGCACACCCCCTCCTAAGAAGTATAGAGTATCTTAATCGGCCGAAAAGATCATGGCGACGATCTTTTGGGATACAGAAAGTATCCTTTTGATTGATTATAAGGAGCGTGGTGTTTCCATAACGGGAGAATACTACGCTTCTTTACTAGATCAATTAAAAGAAGCTATTAAAGAAAAAAGGCGAGGAAAGCTTACAAAAGGAGCATTCCTTTTGCACGACAATGCGTTTGTGCACACAAGCCATGTTGCGACGGCTGCCATTCACCGGTGCGGTTTTGGACAACTGCGCCACCCACCCTACAGCCCAGACCTGGCCCCAAGCGTTTGTTTCCAAAAATGAAGAAAGAACTGCGTGGAAAAAAAATTGGCGACGATGATGAATGAAGTCGGTAATTTCAGTCTATTTTGACGCCCAAGACAAATCTTTTTTTAGACGGTATTAATAAGTTATTTGACAAAACTAATAAATGTATTAGGGTTAAGGGAGAATACATTTAAAAGGAAAAATAGTTTAATGTTTCATTTCATTATCCTTCCCTCTCATTCCGCGAACTTTTTGAACTCCCCTCGTATGATATTTCTGAGATCACGCGTAAAGCTGGTTGTTCCTTCATTGGAGTCGAGCAGGGATCTCAATTTGTAGGAAAGCAAGCTCAAACCACCCTGAGGGTTGATCCTATACAAACTAGCCCTCGGCTCCTTGTCTACATAAAGATCACGGCTCGTTAGGCATAGAAGTGCATTAAAAGCGAGGTTCGTACCGCTGCAGTTGCCATTAAACAGGCAGTTCTTTGTAAGCTAGTTAACTTGTCTGCAGTCGCTTTCCGGCTGGCTTTATAATACTTAACAATGGAGGCATAGATTATAATCGGTTTTAGTATGCTGCTGTACAGCCACAGGATCATCCAGGGTTCCCGAGTGGTTTCCAATTCAGTTATAGTATTACAAAATTGTACCTATTACCTTATATCTAGTTAGTAGAAGGAATTTCTATTGGATGTTATAATTCTATATGTGCAACTTGTTACAAATATCCACTTACCAAAATGGGTAACTGCCTGGCGTTCGTGTGTGAATTTGGCGTCGGCGCTATTGCAGATGTTCTGTAAAACAAAATAATATGATTGAAATCTTAAATCAATTTCATGGTAATTGAATTATTTCCTAGATTTTTTTGTTAAGCCTCTGTTACCGTTTAGCAGATAACAGTACTAAACTATCGATATTTTTGATTAAAATATACAGGGTTCTTTTTCAAAGACTATACTTTTTATATTTAAGTTCAAATATATAAATGATGATATGGCTTTCTTGTAGTTTTTCGAAAGTACAAGTAAATAAGGCGTCTACCTTTATTTGAAAATATACTGAATCGAATGTGATTTATGACCGAGCGACCCTTACGAATGTGTGCGTGCGTAGTAAAATAGTAGACGTTAGATATTTATGAATGAAAATCAGTTAAAATAATGCATTACCACGCATTCTGAATTCAAAAGATAAAAAGGAGAGAGTATTTGAGATTCTTTTAAATAAAATTTGTTCACCATCCGCCTATATTACTTATTCTGAACCTTCTCTACTAATGTAGGCGTATATTAAAATAAACACAAATACAAAATAGCCGTGTATATATAAATACATAAACTAAAATTGGACTATTCTAAATATCTTTATTTTTTCTATCAGTCTATCAATGTCAATGTCCAATGTCACGACCCACACGTACTAGACGTCGCGCAACTTCGATGCTGCTGCCCGTAGCACGTTTGGGCCTTTTCCATCTGGTATATACGAGATGTTTATACTGCCATCTATTGATAGTCATGAGATCTTTCTAACTTTCCTCTAGTCACCTCTACGTCACCCACGAGACAATATATATTCTTACACCTACACCGCATAACTACTGTTAAATATATGAAAATATAGTACATGGGGATAGCTTACCTTAAACGACAAGCATTTGATTAAGTGGAGTTTTTCAGAAAAAGCGTAGAGTAAAGCGTAAGCCAATATATGTAGCAGGTGGACTTATAAAATGCTGTTAATGGTGGTTATAATAGAATTGAAGTTATACTTTTAAAACAAATGTAGCCGTGTAATGGCGGTGTAAGAATATCCACGACCCCATATCGTCCCTGGGCGTCGTAAGAGGCGACAGAGAGACACAAATTAGAAGATGGGCAGCAGCGTTTTCTTAATAACAATAAAAAATAAAAACTGCAGTTACCAACTGGCCTGCCAAACATGGCAACTACGACAAATATCTCTCTAAGAAGCAATCTATGGGAGAGGGATAGCCAATCATATCATCATAATATACTTCAATGGTATAGTAAATGTTCCCAGGGACTGATTCTATTTCGATTTTTGTCGTTCAATTTAATATATAATAAACTAGCTGTTCCCCGCGACTTCGCCCTCGTGGAGTTATTTTTCGCGGAACCTTAAAATAAAAGCAGCCCAAGTTACTCCTTATAACATAAGCTATCTGCCAGTGTGTATAAATATTGACAAATATTGACATTAATATTTATGCGATACTAACGTCACTCAATTGTTTTGCCTGCCCGGAACCCCTCCACTAACACTTAAACTTTATGGTGCGGTATTAAAGTTCAAATTGACTTTTAAGTATTATTATGAATATTTTGTATGGGAATATAGAAAAGTGTTGTTTTTAGACTTTTTCAGGCAATTTTTTAAATTTTTCTCTCCGCAAGAACCATCTTCGTACTTCAAGGAATATTATAAAAAAAGAATTAGCGAAATCGGTTCAGCTGCTGTCGAGATTTGCGCTTAGCAACATATTCAGCGATTCATTTTTATATTATAGATGATTCACATACAGGCAGTGTACATTTTATTGTACAAACAATGTCTCAAATGTACCAGACGCATTCGAAGCACCTTGATATTTGAAGTAATGCTAAATAATAATGATTAATAACGACTTAATTTTTTTTTAATTTTTAAACTAGGATTTTCCCCTGTCATATCCACAACATCCAGATCGCAACAATTATTTGTAGGCTATACAAATATTTGTTACGTGTGGTATTCGAACCCGCGGCTCTTAGCGCTGCAACTTATTGCTAAGCCACTGCGCCTTGAAGCCATAGACTTAATACTTTGATTTTCAACCATGCAGTAAATATTAATTTAGAAAAGTTAAAATTTCATAATAGGATGACTATTTAAGCGTTAAAAATAATATCAAATAAGCAATCATGAATTGCAACAACTTACACAACTGGAACTGTAGTCGCATGTGTTTGGACAGTGGAGCTGTTTGCAGCTGCGGATCTTTGCTGTAACAACAACTGTTGGCCCTGTAAAGAGACAGAAAAATAAATGCCTATCAAAATATATTACATTATTTACAAAAAAAAATTATAAAAGCAAGAGGGGACTTACTTTACATTACAATTATATTAAAAAATGGTACAGTTTCAAGAAAGAATTGTCCAACATACCATTTCCCTCATGCCTCCCGTGAAAGAGACTCTAGGTAGTTGCCCAGGTACAATGTGCTTTATCCTCACAGATTTCCGGCCTTCCTCCGTAAAAATTTCAGTAAACTGTTGAATGTATTTATTAGCTTGAAGTCTTGATCCTAAAATATTCAATTATACCATAAACAAAATTTAAGGGAAACACTAGATTTATAAAGTCTCTTTAATTAAATTTAACTAGGTGACCAGGCAGACATTGCTCTGCACTCTGAAAAGACCTTTTGTCCTATAAAAAAAATCCTTGAATTCGCAATAAAAAACAAGGAGGGTCATTTATCAGGATAAAAACTATTCTATCAGTTCAGTAGTTTAGGAGTTCATAACGGACAAACAATGTGAGACGTATTTTTTATATATATAAAGAATAATAAAGTCCAGTCGCGGAGCAGAAAGAATTTCTTACAACCTCGACCTCTTTGCTTACTGACAGTGGTCACAAACATTTTGGTATTAAGTGCGGTTTATATGAAATATTTGAAGGAGAAAAAAATAAATATACTAACTTATTAAATAAATATTGTTATTATATACATTATTTGTTTTGATTTTAGTATATAAACATTAGAAAAATGGTGTCACAATTACCAATTTGGCAAAAATGAAAAAGTTTTAATTCAAAAATCAGAATCCAATTTCTCAGTATCGGAATTACTGCTTTCTGACGTCTCGCCTCTTACAATTATTACAAAAGAATCAACAGTTTTGTCTACATTATCATTTAGTCTGTCTAATATCGATTCCTCTTTTTTTACGTGACTTTTGCCATTTTTCTGCTGAAATTTTGCCTAAAGCTTCGAGCACCTTTTTAACATCTGCCATCTTAAACGCCCAAGATAACGGCTGTTTTGTCCTTTATTTCTTTTTTGAAGGATATTTATCAACAGGTCAGGATTCTTTAAAGTATATAAACACGTTAATAATCATTACGAAGTGTTGAAGGTGTTTTATCGTGATATTTTATTTATTACAAAGCATAAATGAGAAAGACAGATTTATAATATGTTAACAGTAAAATTATTAAGAGAAAATTAAGTGTAAAACTGTTTAGAACAATATGTTTGGAGTATTTTTAATCATCATCATCAGCGTCTAATAGTCCCCTGCTGGACATGGACCTCTCCACATCAGATGTGCCTTAACACTTAAAGCTTCTTGGATATATTAACTGCAACTGAACAAACAACTCCCCAACGGCTGGAGAGAACTATGAGTCTCTCACAGGATATGTCCTTAACGACAGTATCATATGTTATCTATTAATGATAAAAATATTTAAAAGAAACACTAACCTAAGTTAAATCGACACGCTGCGCCATTCCTTTCTCCTTCCACGTGATCTCTATCCACATATAACTCTCCGAGGAACTCCTGATCGGACGGCCTTTGTAATATCGACAATTTTATATGGAAAAAACCGGCACCAGCATGTGGCGAAGTCTTCTCAGTCTCCAGAATATATTCCTCGACTAGCTGCGGTTGACAGTCTGATGTTGGTCGTGGACGCTCATACGCACGAGCTAAGCGAAGTGGACCCGTTGGTTCGGACGGCAACACTAACGGCACAGAGTCCATTTTCGGTGGCTCTATAGGTTTGAACACCTGTAATACAAAACGTGAACTGAATCTTTGAATAAGGAACAACGATCTAGAAAACATAACAAACGAGAAGATTGTAGGTCACACTCACTATTTTAAACGAGAAATTATTAAAAGTGAGCAAATAAAAATCTTGTTGCGTCGATAATACCGATTTGAGCAGCACTTAGTTATTTTTACGAAAGATTTACCGAACGTCTGATAAATAAAAAAAGTTTCAAACGAGCTACAAAAAGTGGCAAAGAATTATAAACTTATTATTAAAATTTTAGGAGAGCGATGTAAGTGCGTAACTAGTAGTAGATTAAGTGAGGTGTGGCTGGGGTTCACCTTTATCGCGCCGAATATTTATATAATACTAGCAATCCACCCCGGCTTCGCACGGGTGATTTATGGATCTCGATAACAGCGCCACCTACCGATCCAATTGTGAATCTAAACCAACCAGGACCCACTCAAAGGCACACAAAAAATTTCATCAAAATCATTTGAGTTCGTTTCGAGTTTTAGCGAGACTAACGGACAACAATAGATTTTTATATATAGAAAAGAAGAGACTAGCTTTTACCCGCGACTTCATCTGCGTATGATTAGTACTTCGAATAGCCAATTTTTTTGTACCAGCTTTCATTAATCTCCATATAGATAAAATAATTAAAAAAAAACTGATTAATGGTTTTGATGTGAAAAGGTAAATATCACAAGTGGTAAAATTAAAAATGTTGTACAACTGATTTCAATATAAATTATTAAGAATAACTCAAAAACTATTACTCAGACCTTAATCAAATTTATATGGGATGAGAAACACCAGCTTTCAAACAAAAAAAGAATCATCTAAATTGGTTCACCTAGAAAAAAGTTATGAGGTAACACAGATATTACAATTTTAAACATTATCAATATAAAACATTTTCAATTTTCAGGTTGTTTTTAATATAGTTCAACAACAATCAACATTACTAGTCGTAATACTGCTTTATTAGAAGCTTCTTACATTATATCTTACTTAAAAGTATGATGCCGTCACTATATTCAAGGTTGGACCAAAAGACTGTATACTGGTTCTTTAAGATTTTGATAAATGTTTTGTAATCGATTATTTTCATAATCAACAAGAATCGCATCACTTGTCGTAGTACTGCATTATTGGAAGGTTCTCATATAAAAGTAATGAGAAACATATAAATACATAATAACTTCAAAACTCGTACACATGTTATATAAAAAAATTACAATTACCTCTGGTGGTTTCTTGGGATACTTGGAAGTAAGTCTAGTAAGTGGTACAGATTGTCTACTGTTCTTTGCTCTTTGTCTATGAATCAATTCCAATAACTCTAATCCGTGATAGTGTGTGAATTGATCCAATTTTCTTTTTCTATTTACTGCCACCTGAAATTTCAAGGTTTATTAGGTATTCCAGATCATCAAGATCCTTACTTTAGATGTAATTCATAATAACTGAAGAACTAAATTTATATATGAAAATTTTATCTTCTTTCAAAAACTAAAATATCAAATTAAAGGATATAATAATATAGTTAAAAAAATGTATTTCGTATTTTTTCTTCTGCTTAATTAGCCTGCAACAGTTCACTCTGGACATGGACTTTTCCTATTGGGATAGGATTTCCTGTATTTGGAATGGTCCTCAACCAAATCAATGTAACATAACCAAGGCACCTTGGTTTCCAGCGCTTTTACGGAGTCCGTCGCCAGTATTTCACAATATATGGCATATTTTCGTACTGCTGAAAAACGGTTCTCTTACTGTAGAAAAGATTTGCCCTAAACGCCACGCATGGCAGGTTGGCGATGGCAGTACTAGACATTCTTTATGACGTTCTCTCCATCGCCTATCTGCGTATTTACCATCTCTTATACGCCAGACGTAAAAAAAATCATAAACACAAGCTTTAATAACAATACCTGAGAGAATCGTCTTGCTTGCCTCCGTATTCTAGGTGTGTTAAAAAGTCGTGGAGCAGCATGTAAGCGAGCTGCCAAGAGACCTACAGCAGGTCTCGGGTCCAAGCACAGAGGGGGTGCAGCTGCATGTACTAAGGCTGCTTCCACTGCTTCAAGAGCTCCTCTTTCTTCACCGGCCCAACCACATTTGCCTCCAATGCACATTGCATCTGTTATTATGCTCTAAAAACATAAAATTATACAATCCTCAGTTGTGCGACAATTATTGCTTTCCCTTCTGAAAAGAGTTAAAGGGATATTAATATTAAATTTACTAAGCTAGCTTATAAAGATTTGTCATCTACGAATCCTACTAATATATACAAAACAAACTTTATTGTATATTATATATAATTATCATCATCTTCAGCCTGTACAGAACACTGCTGAACTTGGGCCAGTAGGGGGTCATGCTTGTCAAGTGTACATCCAATCGTTTGATGTCACTTATTTGACATCACTGAAAACCACATCCAAATTGGTAGGATAGTTATTGTAGGGATTAGCTTGCAGAAATGCACAGACAAACAGACAAAATATCGATTTACGATTTTATATTATGTATAAATGAGGGATTAATACAAATAAAAAATAATAATAGTACGAAAAATCCTAAATATAAAATAAAATCAAAAAACTGTAGAGTATTCAGTATATATACCTAGTCAGATCATAAGTATTGTCACACAGTAAAAACTTTTCTTTTAGAATGCTGGCCACAAAAAAGTTTATTGAATTCGAATTTCGAATTGTTCATGAAAATAAAACTGTATACTTTTTAGAATTTTACTCATTTTTAAATATGGAGTGGACGCTTAAAGAAGACAGTGTTGCAGTTATTGCGTTGCATCTTTGTCGTTACGCGCCAATTCAAATTTTTGACATACTGAAAAATTTGAATATAACCAAAAGATTCGTTTATCGTACCATCAAACGATACAATGAAGACTCTAGTGTAGATGACAGGTCAAGTAGTGGTCGCCCTCGGTCTGTTAGGACCAGCAGTGATAAAAGCTGTGAAGGCGCGAATTCAAAGAAATCCCAAACGTAATCAGAAACTGTTGGCCTTTCAGATGGGGTTAAGCAGAACTACGGTGAAAAGAGTGTTAAGTGAAGACTTAGGGCTTCGGGCATATCGAAGAAAAACAGGACATCATTTGAATGCTCATCTAATGGACCTGAGACTGAAGAGATGCCGCGCTTTGTTGAAGCGGTACGCGGGAAAAAAATATCGGGAAATTCTTTTTTCGGATGAAAACATTTTTACCGTAGAAGAGAGCTACAAGAAACAAAGTGATAAGGTGTACGCACACAGTAGTGAAGAAGCGAGCAACTGTATTCCGCGTGTCTAACGAGGTCATTTTCCATCCTCGCTCATGGTATGGTTGGGAGTTTCTTATTGGGGCTTATCATAGGTACATTTTTGTGAGATATGTGTAAAAACGAATGCAGTGGTGTATCAAAATACAGTCCTGACGAACCTGGTGGAACCTGTTTCTCATACCATGTTCAATAACAGGCACTGGGTATTCCAACAAGATTCGGCGCCAGCTCATAGAGCGAAGAGCACACAAGACTGGCTGGCGGCGCGTGAAATCGACTTCATCCGGCACGAAGACTGGACTGGATTCAAATCTGGACTGGAGGAGGCCTCCAGTCCAGATTTGAATCCGTTAGATTACAAGATATGGCAACACTTGGAGGAAAAGGCGTGCTCAAAGCCTCATCCCAATTTGGAGTCACTCAAGACATCCTTGATTAAGGCAGCCGCCGATATTGACATGGACCTCGTTCGTGCTGCGATAGACGACTGGCCGCGCAGATTGAAGGCCTGTATTCAAAATCACGGAGGTCATTTTGAATAAACTTTAGTGTCATAAGAATCTATGTTTTGTAAAGTTCATTTTGGTATATAAATGGTTACATAATGAATAAACTTGTTTCAATTATTTTATATTAAACATGTGACAGAATTTATGACCTGACTAGGTATAGTGTATTGGCGATATATTGAAAATGGGTCTAATTAGGAATACCCTTAAGGTGGCTACTCACTTGTTTGCCGCAGGGTCACTCTAGGGTGAACAGCGATCAGGACAATATCAGAACTGTCTCTACATACATGCCTGCCATTCGTTTTATCGAAATGTCAATGAATCGGTATATACAGCCTTGGATCTTTTTTATATAGATAATGGTGACAAATGAGCACAGTTCACCAGATGGTAAGTGGATAGTGTGGCCCATAGGCACCCATATTTAACGATAACACAACTAATTAATCAATACTTACAACCATAATATCAATTGAATTTGCCCCAATTGCATTACACACATGATCTAGGGAGCAAGAAAGGTCTTGCGCCCCTGCCACCCTGCCGCAGGGCCAACTTAGAAAATTGCCCTTGCTTGCATACACACATCACAATTAAGGAGGCAATTAAGGGTCATCCCCACTCCTACACCATAGATTGCCCCTGCGGCAGGCAAGTGAGTAGCCGCCTTTAACCGACGATCGTGTATGCGTAGATATATGGATGTGGAGGAGGTGAGAGAGGTGTGTCAGGATCGTGCCAAATGGAAGTCCGTAGTCTCCGCCTACCCCTTTCACGCCTGTCACCCAGGCGTGAGTGTTTCTGTATTATGTATTCAGTGAGCACAATTTAAGAAGTCAGTAGTAAGTACTTAATTAAAATGCTTCAGAATTGAACAACTTTTGTTAAAGTTATTACCTGATTGGTAGGCCTTAGTAACACATGATGTGTATCACATAAAAAACTGGGATATGCCTGCCTGTAGTCCCTTATTTGAGCAATTATGCAGCCAGAGTAGAAAAGGGATGAGTGTTCTGACTCTAACAGATCAAGAAGGACCACAGGTAATTCTTCATTATCAATATAGCTAAGAAGCTCTTCTTCTTCATAAGGCCATCGAGGAGTTTCTATCAGCGTCTCCTCTTGACTTGATATCTGTCACAAATTTTTTTTATTTAATGTTATTTGAATCTTCAACATAATACATTAAATTAAACAATACACACATAAATTACCATAACTATAATAATAAGTAGAGACATGATAATTCCTAGCTACATGATAAAATAAAACAGATTAGTAAAAGTAAGGGTTACAGCCTATTTACATTCCACTGCTGGACACAGCCCTCCACTCATTTCTGGGAGGGTTTTAGGGCAAGAAAATGTACCTGCTGCCCCAAATCTAATTTTTTTTTTTTAATTATTAGACATATAGCTTTCCTTATGATATTTTCCTTCACCACCATGTATGTGGTAGAGTCATGCTGCAGCTATATTTCTGGTATAGTTGTAACACGAATGGGTTGGCTCGACCGGGGAAGGACCACGCTCTCACAGAATACCAGTGTAAAATAGCAGCTTAATGCTGCTGTGTTTCGTATGGTGAGTGTAGAGAACCGGAGACCCTTTTTACTGGAAACGAGGCATTCCATTGTACTCCTCACGGGTGACAACGCATCTGCATTTTGATTTGTAATCAAGGATAAATGTAGATGTCTATGGGCCACAGCAACCACTTAGCATCAAGTGGACCGCGTGCTCGTTTGTCACCCATATCCTATAAAAAAGAACCAAGCATGTGGTAAATCAGCACTTAAAATTGCAAGTAACAATTTCATTTTACCAGCGGGGTTAGAACCCAGGTTGCTTACATATTACAAAATTGACAGTGAGTGCTTAACCCCTAAGCTACCACTGATCTTAAAACAGATTACTGATTTGTATTAAATTTTTCAAAGTAGATATTTTGTGAAGAATACCCAAATAGTGAAAATGTGCATAATATTTGAATTCATATTTTCGGGGTATATGACAATATATATATAGGGTACAATATATACATATACAATATATATATATTGTATATATATGTATATATTAGGAAGATATTGTGAGGAAATGTGTATGTCTCAGAAAGTTTGAAGTTCGCCAACACACATTGGAACAGGCGGTGTACATTTTGTTGTCCTATAACCCCTCTCAAAAATCAGAGGAGACATGTGTCCAGCAGTGGGACATCTATAGGCTGTAACTTTAACTTCAAGTTTACTAGCAATGAAGTTAGTTTGTGAATGCCATCAAGTAGATTTATTTTTACGAGATCCAAACTCTTTAGTTATTAAACGTTCAAAAATCTCGAATAAGGCCCTAAGCACTACAATAGGGTGATAATTCTTAACTAAATCTTATCACCACTCTTGAAGATTGAATGGATGATAACCCGCTTTAACAAATTAGGAAAAATAGAAAATTCCAAACAGAGACTAGAACTATGGGCTAAAATAAGTGTCAGAATAGAAGAATATCATTTTAAAAAACTTTTTTTTTAAATAGGATGGGTGACAAACGAGCATACAGTATTCCTGATGGTAAGTGGTTGCTGTGACCCATAAACATCTACATCTATCCTCGTTTGCCAATCAAAATGCAAATGCGTTGTCACCCATGAGGACTAAGATGGAATGCCTCTTTTCATAAGGGTCACCAGTTCTCTACACTCACCATACGAAACACAGCAGTGTTAAGCTTCTATTTTTCACAGGTATTCTGTGAGAGTGTGGTCCTTCTCCGGTCGAGCCGACCCATTTGTACTACAACTATACTACTAATATAGCTGCAGCATGGCTTTAGCACGTGTACCACTTGGAGGTATTCCATTCCAGCCGTTAACCATATTATTTTGAAGCGGGTTAATAACTAATTTAATCATATCAGTGTCCGTTGATTCTAAGACAAAAGATGACAGATTAGTTTTCTGCAGTGGTTTCTTTAAGTAGAACTGTGCCATTATTGCCGGTGATATTTTGCACAAGCTCATTCCCAATGTTGATAAACAACTTATTAACATTGTTAGATGACTGAATTGATGGGAGAGGATAATAATTGCTGTGCAGTCGATTGTCAAGATTTATCAGTACAAGCAATGTTTTTTATAATGTCCCCTAGGCCTTTTGCTATTTTTATCTACTTTCTCTTTTGCTCGGTTTATAGTGATGAATATCACAAATGTGAAGTCAGCCATGAGTGATCTACCAACGTGGCTTAAAAATAATCTAATATATAAAAAATCATTTTTGTTTGTTCATATTATATGCTCTGTCATACCATTCATCAGATTGTGGTAAAACTTTGTCAAGATATTGCTTACACTTCCACGAAGGTTATAGGCATAATAGAATTAACTTACAGTAGGTGTATCATACCAATATTAAATAATAAAAAATTTCATTGAATGTTTTATTATATAATATTTCCACAATTATTTCTTCTGCGGCAGCAAGGCACTACTCCACTAGTATATTATAAATATTTATTACACATATAATTTCTTAATCTTAAATTTGAATAATAGAATAATTTACTCACATTTGCATCAGGAGGATGAATATATTGTGTATTGCCATTAGCTTTCAATGATAATGAGTACCCTTTATTGCCAGGATATAGATTTATAATTAAAGTATTGAGATTATATGTTGCTAATAATTTTTCCAATAAATATGATGTTGTTTTAAGTCCTTGCTGTAAAAAATTATTAAAAATTATAAAACAAAATATAGTAATAAGTCTTGTTTACATTGATTACAATTATCTATAAGGTTCATATCTCGAAAATATTCATTACAATTATTCTAAATTAAAAATTCATGCAATAAGCATTAATACATTTATATACATAGCTAAATTTATATTTAAATAATATATTATAGAGCGGCTTTAATACCTGATGCAATTAGAAAAAGAAACTACATTAAGAAATATCAAAAAATAGACTCACATAATTAATTTGTGACGCTTCATCTCTACTTAATTCAATATACAATTCATGTAACTTTTTAAATAAATCAAATTTTTCTGTTATTTTTGATCTATCCAGTGTAGTGGAATTTCTTTGGAGCTTCATTCTGCTTTCATCAACAGATTCAGCTATGTGCATTTTTTCATGGGTCCAAGTCATTTTATGGTCTGGAACACCACTGTCAAATTGTGTTATGTTTGCATTTGCATGTTTCACTCGATTAAGTATTACCTGAAATTTTATTTTTATTGTTATAAAATAAAAGCCAAGTTAAATCTTAAATAACAAACTGATAAAACTAATTTATCACTTGCCTCTGCTTCCAATGCCGCGTGAATTAAACCATCCATAATGTCATTAATTAAAAAGAAATATATAAGTGGCAGTTGCGTTTTTAAATATATTATTTCATTTTAACAATTTAGGTCTGAGTATTAAGTCATGATTTCTTTAAAACTAATACGCTTTATTTATGTTTCACACTGCATGACAGTAAAATAACATGTCCAATGTTCATCAACATTTTTGACAGTTCTTTTTAATGTTGCCAAATGTGACAATCAAAGCGTTGCCATAAAAAATATAATAATTATTAATCAGCACAGTTGCCACATCCTGAATATGGTTGACCCTTAGGGCCGATTAACACTTCGACAAGTACGGTAGCGAATTTAGTTACAGGACAGTTGACAGTAAACGGTTAAGTGGTCAGTAGCATTCAAATGTCTTTGTGGTGAGTTTAGTTCTTCTTCTTTCCTTTTTTGTGGCGGTTTGCTAAAATTCACCAAGGACGTATTGAGTGGAATATGAAAGCTTATGAGTTTAATTAAAATTAGAGTCTGTAATAATACAAGGATTTAGTTTTTCTCCTAGAATTTTGACAAACCTATCTGTTGAATTACCTAAACCAAATGACAAACACATGTATTAGAATCTTATTAGGACAAGGATTTAAAGTTTCATGTTATTAGTATTAATAAAATCACATAAAATATACACAAAAAGAGTACTAGTATATGTTAAAGAGAATTAAAATCTATAGTGCGAGGAATATAAGGAGGAAGGTAATCATAAAGGGAGGAGGACAGTTTGGGACAGTTGAAAAATAAAATGGTTTGTGGAACATTCATCTAAGACACATTTACACAATGAGCTATCCCTATCTCTGATTTTGGCCAGATGTACATGTGTACAAGCATGTCCAATTCTCAATCTACAGATGATTGAAGTTGCATGTTTATTTGCTTTGTTAAATTAAAAAAAACTAAGACTTGGGAGGAATAACCTCTTGGATGGCAGCATAGTGCTTACCCTTAACATTTTTGGATACTTCCAACAATTTATTCCAATTTTTAATTCAGTTTCCTTTTAGCTAGCAAAATTAGGTTATGTGAGTAAATTAAATTTTGTAGAATACCATTAGCAATTGCATTTTTAGCGAGTACATCAGCTGTTTCGTTTCCATAGATACCACTGTGGCCAGGGATCCAGGCTACTGAAACATGGATTCCTTTAAGATGGCATCTGAATAGGGTATTTTTTTATTTTAAGAATTAGTGGAAATTTATGTTTGTTATGGAATTGATTGGACAAAATAGCTAACAAGCAACTTTTTGAATCTGTGAAAATAACTATTTTATTAAGATTATGTGACTCGACATATAACAGAGCTTCACAGATTGCAGTTGCCTCACTAGTGAAAGTGAGGGGCATTTAAAGTTAACAATGATTTTGAACTTAGGAATCCAAACAGCAGCTCCAGTATAGTCTTCATCAGACTGTTTGGAAGCATCTGTGAACATGATAAGCCAATATTTAGAGGTTTTTTTCTACAATTTCTTTTAATTTTAAATTTGCCATTGGAGAATCCTTTTCTACACATAGATCTAGATGGTTGTCAGGTTGGGAAACAATTGCCTCGTAAGGAACATCAAAGAGTGGATTTATTTCACTTTGAAAGATTGGGTAAGGAAGCTAAAGAAAAATTACACAACTTTTGAACAAGCAGGGAGAATCCTTATGGGTCCAGAAAAGGCCAGATGAGATATACTCTGAAAGGAGATGCAATTTAGAAATTTGGGGATGATTTGAAAGCTGACAGACCTTAAATAAGAATTTGTCGGAAAGGTATTGCTTTCTCAATCTTAAAGGAGGATCAACCTGAAGAATATTTATTGGTGAGGATTTCATTGTCCCTGTAATAATGCGAAGACATTTCGATTGAATTTTGTCCATTACTCCCAGGGATGATTTATTGTAAGGCTCCAAGAGAAAAATTCCATAGTCAAGGTTTCTTCGTGCATTGTACAGTAATTTCTGAGAAAAAGGATGGGACCCCCACCAAACCAGACAAAGATTGAAGAACACTGGAAGAAGCACATTATCATATGTAGACGAAATATCCCAAGAAAACTGCTATGAGCAATTCATGTCTTGAAAAAGCAATACGAATATATGTGACCAAAGTACTAAGGCTATTCATGGTACTTAAGCCTTTACGGAAACCGAATTGGCTTTTAGGTAAGATATTATTCCTTTCCAAAAACTATTCCAAGCGATTTTTATTAGGTGTTCCAAGATTTTTGCCAAAGTACATGAAAGGGCAACAGGTCGGTAACTGGAGGGGTCATTGCCAGACTTACCTGGTTTGAGGATGGGTAAAATGATTTGGGGTTTCCATTTAGCAGGAGGAGCACCAGTAATATAAATATAATTTAAAATGGATAGTAAGACAGTTTTAGTATTCTCGCTACTATTAATTATAAACGAATAAGGAATCCCGTCAACACCTGGTGAGGATACTTTAAGGCCATTAAGGACAGTAAGAAATTTCTGAGAAGAAAATGGGGAATCAAATTTATCATGTTTTTTTAAAGAATCAGAATTAAAAACTAGGCATTCATCATAAGATGGGACTGTTTGTGGTGGTAGTTTATTGGAGAATTCATCTATCTATGGGGAAGGATCGTTAGAAATTACATTTTTACTGAAAACCTCACAGCGATATTTTTGTTTTTCCCATCATTGACCAGGCCAAAGATGGGAAAGTCCTAGGTGACAGTGACTCACATAATTTAAACCAGCCGGTTCGCTTTTTTTTTTTGGAGGATCGGGTGACAAACGAGCACACAGTCCACCTGATGCTAAGTGGTTACTGTGACCCATAGACATCTACATCTATCCTCAATAAAGACTCAAGATGCAGATGCGTTGTCACCCGTGAGGACTAAGATGGAATGCCTCTTTGCCAGTAAAAAGGGTCTCCGGTTCTCTACACTCACCATACGTAACACAGCAGCGTTAAGCTGCTATTTTACGCTGATTTTCTGTGAGAGCGTGGTCCTTCCCCGGTCGGGCCGACCCATTCGTGCTACAACCATAATATAGCTGCAACATGGCTCTACCACGTAGAGTGTGTCGTTTTTTATAAGAGATATAATTATCTGCAGTCATAGAACGGGAGTATATTAATTCAGCCTCTTTTCTTCTCCTACAAGCTGCTGAACAATCTTGGTCCCACCAAGGTGGGGAAGGATAATTATTTTTGAATGGTTTTTTTAAGGGAATCCCCATATTAGCAGCAGAAATAATTGAATTTCTGAACTCTATATATACCAGAACAATGTTATCCTTGTTAATTGGAGGAAGAGTTGAAACCTCTCGTTCTAAAACTGAAGAATATAATTGCCAATTAGCTTTGGATAGATTATACTTTAGTCTGGGGAAAATGGGAAATTTATTCTAGGAATATATATAATTATATATCCCTAGAATAAATTTCTATATGTATATATAATTCTTGAATATAGGAAAATGGTCACTGCCTTGGCTAGAGGGTAATATTTGCCACAAGAGAAGGGAAGCAATATCTGGGAAACAGAAAGTTAGGTCAGCGGCACTTCTAACATTTTGTAATGGGGATACTCGACGGTAGGAAACCCGTCATTAGAATACAGAGATTAAAATTATCAATAAGATCTAAAAATAAGGGAGCCAGTGAATTACAAAGACGGGAGCCCCAAAACAGTATGATGTATATTAAAATCTCCTAATATAACCATAGGAGGTGACAGAGAAGAAATAAGTGTTCCAAGTTCTGTTAAGACATTGACATCAGGATTTGGAATGTAAACAGAGAGAATAGAGATATCAAGGGCCTTAATAGCAATAGCGTTTATTGCTGGACTATGAGAAGGGAGAGAAATTTGTGAAAATGTAACTGCTCTTGAAATGAAAATAGAGGTACCAGCGCGATCGTCACACCTGTCATCCCGGAGGCATGCGTAGCCTGAAACCCTAAAATGGTACTCAGGCCTAAGCCACGTCTCCTGAATTGCAAGAATGAAGGGATGAAATTTATTAATGAGGTAAATGAGTTTCTTTTTTTATTTCTAATGCTACGACAATTCCGTTGAAGAATTGGTGGGACTGCGTATCTTACGGGCTAAGGAGGAAAGCTCAGTAAGTTTCTGACGTAAATTACATGGAAGTTCAGTATCACTAAAACGGGATAACATACTAATAAGCATGGAAATTAATAGCTCAAAAAGGTTATCATTTGGGGAAATGGAATTTTTCTCTGTTAAGGCACATCCATTAGATAAAGAAGAGGCAGGGGTTTCAGTAATTGTATGACGAGCAGATTTGTCATATCCAATACCTGATGCAGGGTTTGGAGAATATCTGAGAATGAATATAGTTTTTCTATGGGAGGAGGTTTGGGATGAGGAAGGTAATGATGTAGATGGATCACTTGGTACGGTATGGGAGATTTGTTGGGTACTAGGATTGAGAGCTGTGGTGTCTGCAAAAGATCTTCTCATTGGAGGGAATCTTGCTGAGGCTTTCAAATAAGAAATATTTTCTTGAGACATTACTAATATTAGAAATTTTTGTCTGGAGTGTTCAGGGCAAGAAGGATCTTTTGCTGAATGGGAGGCAGAGCAAAATAAGCAAGTAGGAGTTAGGCGAGAATAAGATACTCCTTCATAATTTTGAGCGCATATAAAACAGCGAGGGGAAGACCTACACTGGGAAGTTACATGTCCAAATCGACAGCATTTAAATGGCATTGGATGATAGGTAAAACATAGGTCTCTATGGGCATTGATGTATAAAAGCAGATAATATGAGTTGGTAATTTTTGTCCTGAGAAAGTCAAAACAACAGTCTGAGTGGGGATTCAAATTGAATTATTGCTCTCGTTAACAGATCGTCTATTCAGACGGCGTGCTCTGATAACTTTACCAAAACCAGAAGGGACTTTAATGTAAGTGACTAATTCTTCTAATGTCCACTCTACAGGAACCTAACTATTCCCATTCGAGTGACATTATATGAGGGTATCGCA